TTGTAATTTTATGTTAAAGAGGATTAGGGTGGGATTATAACACTGCCCTTACCCAGGTCACATCCCTGATCCACCGTAAAGGGAGTTTCCCTAGGGTGTGGCCTGTAGCACCTTTTACCTTACAAGAGATAAAAGGAAAGGGAAGCAGGCAGAGAATGGGGGACCTCATACTATCAAGAAAGCAGTGCCGGGAGCAGAGCGTGTCCTTTGGACTGGGGTTCCTGCGCCGAGAAGCTCCTAGTCTGGGGGAACACTGATGAGAAGGCCGAGAGAGAGAAAGCCTTCCCCTGGAACTGACACCCTGAATTTGGATTTTTAGCCTACTTTACTGTAAGGAAATAAACTCTTTGTTAAAACCATCCACTTGTGGTATTTCTGTTATAGCAGCACTAGATAACTAAGACAGGTATATACCTAGGAATGAAATTGCTGGGTATTATGGTAATTCTGTGTTTAACTTTTTGAGTAACTGCCAGACTTTTCCACAGTGACTATACCATTTTATATTCCGACCAGCAATGAATGAGGGGTCAGTTTCTCCGCATCCTCCGCAATACTTGTTATTGTCCATTTTTCTGATAATACCCATCCTAGTGCCTGTGAAGTAGTATCTCATTGTGGTTTTGATGGGCATTTCCCTAATGACTAATGATGTTGAGCATCTTTTCATGTGCTTATTGACTATTTGAATTCCTTCTTTGGGGAAATGTCTGTTTAAGTACTTTGCCCATTCTTTACCATTCTTTAATTGTGTTGTTTGTTCTCTAGTTGTTAAGTTGTAGGAGTTCTTTGTATATTCTGAATATTAAAACCTCATCAGATATATGGTTACCAAATATTTTCTACCATTTCTTAGGTTGTCTCTTCATGTTCTTAATAAAATCCTTTGATGCCCAAAAGTTTTTAATTTTGATAAAGCTCAGTTTATTTGTCTTTTGTTGCTTGTGCTTTCAGTGTCGTATCTAAGAACCCCCAGTTAATTTTTCAAGTGCTGAGATTTTTAGAGGGCATATATAAAGTTTGAAATGAAATGTTCTCCTAAAACAACAGAGATTACTAAACAGTGAAACTTCTGGGATAAGAGAGAAGCCCAAAACAAGAGGCAGAGTTAATTTTGGGTATTTTTTTTCTAAACATTATATGGGATTTGTTAATGAGGAATACCATTTATGGTGGGATCATGTGAAAATTTTTCTTTACTCCAGATGCATTATTGGGCCCCTCCACAGCCTTGTTAGAGAAGTGGATAGTAAGAGCCCACCGTTGACCATACCGGTGGGAGATTAACATTTGGAGGTGTGTCTCTTTACTCTATTTCCCCATAAAGAGGAAGAGAAACTAGACTAGGTGATCTCATAGGGCTCGCCTCCATGATGAAAATTGTACAGCTCTTTGATATTTTGTTTGTGGTGGTTATAAGATATTGCTCACTTTGAACCTTGCATAGAAAGTGCTTTTATTAGCCAATATCTACCTTTAAAAATTTATAAAATTTGAAAAAAACTTTAAGCATTCCAGCCTTTTACAAGCCAAATATGCTATTAAGTTTCCCCGGAATAATTATTAAAATTTTTTAGTCTTTTGCTTAGAAAAATGCATAACTTAGACAAGAAAAATTAAAACACTACTAACTATATTAAAGCAACTTTTTTTCTTATTTAATTGGGTTTACAGAAAAACATAAGCAAAAATGGTACTATAATTTCATATTGATTTGTGAATATGTGTTTAGGAAGAAACATCAATTTTGATACACACCAAGAATTGGATTGCTTCAAATTTGCCAGATAATTGCTTCAGCCTTTACTTTGACCATTGTATATAGCTCTTTCAAAACTATGATGTACATTATCCATTATTGGAGGATAAAAAGTTACTGTTTTTTTAGATACTCCATAAATAATTGTTGAATGTATGAATGAACGTTGATAGTTTAGAGAAAACTTTTTTAAAAATGTCATCTTGATCTTCCCTTTCAGTATGATTGTGTCAATCCATCTTGTTGAAGGTCTTCCTCTTTTTTGCTGACCCTCTACTTTCCCAAGCATGATGTCCTTCTCTAGGGATTGGTCCCTGCTGATAACATGTCCAAAGTATGTGAGACAAGTCTTGCCACCCTTGCTTCTAATGAGCATTCTGGCTGTGCTTCTTCCAAGACAGATTTGTTCGTTCTTCTGGCAGTCCATGGTATATTCGATATTCTTCGCCAATACCATAATTCAAAGGCATCAATTCTTTGATCTTGCTTATTCATTGTCCAGTTTTCACATGCATATGAGGCAGTTGAAAACACCATAGGTTGGGTCAGGTGCACCTTAGTCCTTTAAGTGACATCTTTGCTTTTTAACACTTTAAAGAGATCTTTTGCAGATTTGCCCAAGGCAACGTGTTGTTTGATTTCTTGACGGCTGCTTCCATGGGTGTTGATTGTGGATCCAAGTAAAATGAAATCCTTGACAACTTCAGTCTTTTCTCCGTTTATCATGATGTTGCTTATTGTCCAGTTGTAAGGATTTTTGTTTTCTTTATGTTGAGGTGTAATCCATACTGAAGGCTGTGATCTTTAATCTTCATCAGTGTTTCAAGTCCTCTGCACTTTCAGCAAGCAAGGTTGCATCATCTGCATATTACGGTTGTTAATGAGTCTTCCTCCAATCCTGATGCCATGTTCTTCTTCATACAGTCCAGTTTCTCAGATTATTCGCTCAGCATACAGATTAAGTATGGTGAAACGATACGACTCTGATGCACACCTTTCTTGACTCTAAACCATGTAATATCCCCTTGTTCTGTTCAAGGACTGCCTCTTGGTCTAAGTACAGGTTTCTCATAAGCACAAGTAAGTGTTCTGGAATTCTCATTCTTCCCAATGTTATTCATATTTTGTTATGATCCACACAGTTGAATGCCTTTGCATAGTCAGTGAAACATCTTTCTGATATTCTCTGCTTTCAGCCAGGATCCATCAACAATGATACCCTTGTTCCACATCCTTTTCTGAATCTGGCTTGAATTTCTGGCAGTTCTGTCCATGTACTGCTGCAGTCGCTTTTGAATGATCTTTAGCGAAATTTTACTTGGGTGTGATATTAATGATATTATTTAAAAATTTCTGCATTCTGTTGGATCACTTTTCTTCGGAATGGGCACAAATATGGATCTCTTCCAGTTGGTTGGCCAGGTAGCTGTCTTCCAGATTTTTTGGCATAGATGAGTGAAATGGTGTTGTGTTTTATGATGTTGAAAAAAGGTATTTGCAATGAAGAAGTTATTACTTTTGCAAAATTCTGTCATGCAATCGTTTCTATGTCCAAGGCCATAGTTTCCAACTACCGGTTCTTCCTCTTTGTTTCCAACTTTCGCATTCCAATTGTCAGTAATTATCAATGCATCTTGATTGCATGTTTGATCAATTTCAGACTGCAGAAGTTTGTAAAAATTTTCAACTTCTTCATCTTTGGCCTTAGTGGTCGGTGCATAAATTTGAATAATAGTCATATTAACTGGAATTCCTTGTGGGCGTATGAATGTTATCCTATCATTGACAACGTTGTACTTCAGGATAGATCTTGAAATGTTCTTTTTAACAAGGAACGTGACGCTATTCCTCTTCAATTTGTCATTCCCGGCATAGTAGACCATATGATTGTCTGATTCAAAATGGCCAATACCAGTCCATTTCAGCTCACTAATTCCTAAGGTATCGATGTGTTCCATTTCATTTTTGACAACTTCCAATTTTCCTATTCTTCGAACATTCCACATTCTGATTATTAATGGATATTTGCAGCTGTTTCTTCTCATTTTAAGTCGTGCCTCTCAGTTTGTCATACTGTGGTGGCTTGCGTGTTGTGGTGATACTGGAATCTTTGCCACCGGTATTTCAAATACCAGCAGGGCCACCCCTGATAGACAGGTTTCAGCTGAGCTTCCAGACTAAGACAGAGTAGGAAGAAGGACCTGGCAGTCTACTTCTGAAAAAATTGGCTGGTGAAAACCTTATGAGTAGCAGCAGAACATTGTCTGATATGGTGCTAGAAGACGAGCCCCTCAGATTGGAAGGCCCTCAAAATACAACTGGGGAAGAGCTACCTCCTCAAAGTAGAGTTGACCTTAATGATGTGGATGGAGTCAGGCTTTTGGGACCGTCATTTGCTGAAGTGGCATGACTCAAAATGAGAAGAAATAGCTGCAAAATCCATTAATTTATACTTCTGTATGAAAGTTGGAGCCCTGGTGGTGCAGTGGTTAAGAACTTGGCTGATAACCAAAAGGTCAGCAGTTCGAATCCACCAGCTGCTCCTTGGTAACCCTCTGGGGCAGTTCTACTCTGTCCTTTAGGGTGGCTATGAGTCGGAATCAACTGGATGGCAATGGGTTTGGTTTTTTTGGTTATATGAAAGTTATTATAATTAAGATGGTACCATGCCTTATCTTAGTGTAATTTAGTAATATTTGAAGTTCCTTATAACTGTTTTTATGTTTGAATGCTGCATGACTGAACTTTCTAGAGTCTAATAGTTATAGAGCAAAATTTGAATGACATCCTGAGATCCACTTTGATTTTTCAAAGGATGTCTTATCAATGTTTATATTATGCTGTCTTGCTTACTCTATTGCTATGTATTTTTTTTTTATGGTTACAGGATACCTTCCACTTTCATAAGAGATATTGTATGGCTTCTTAAGACTAGAGAAATCCATGTATTTGTACTGCTGAAATTAAAAAAAAAGAGGGATTTATTTTAGGTATAAAGTGTTTTGAATCTTTACCTAGTTTTCTTTCTAAAACTATTAGTTTTTCTTTGCATTTTGGATTGCTTATATGGCTTCTAATTTCTCTTTAACATCTTTTTATCAGCTTGTGGCTGCTGACTATTTCCAGCCAAAGAAATTTGGCAATCTCCCATTTTTAACAAGGAGAGAGCCCTCTTGGTCATTTGTAGGGAGAAGGCACTTATTAAGGAGAGGGCTGGACTAGGGCAGATGTGGGGAGCAAAAAATAGTTGAACCTATTGTAGATTAGTAGGGTTACAACTGCTAATCCCAAATCTTCAAATGTGGAGGGTTTCCTTACGCATGTGAGTATGTACACTCTTCTGATTTTAGTAAAACTTAATTAGCACTGCAGCCCAGTTACTGTTTAGTTAATTGAACATGAGTACTGAGCTCCAGTTCTGGCCTGGGCCCTGCTAATGACCCTGAGCAAGCCTTATAACTTGTGGATTCCTTATTGGCACTAGTAGAATTAACTAGGTTGAGCTGGGCTGTGCTTATCAGACTTGTTGGAAGCAAACCGGCTTTGAAGTTATCAAAAAAGAAAAAAGATTTAAAAAATTATATTCCACCATCGTATAGCCTTCTAAAATTTAATATAAAGATTGCATTTTAAATTGGTTACCACCATGTAACATTGATGCTCCCAGAAGATGGATCATGTTTATCCTGGAGTTTTAAGTATTCCCTGACCCACTGCTTCATGCCTTTGGGGCTACTTGTGTCTCAGTTTAAGAAGTATGGGACCCAGAGGAGCTCTCAGGTCTCTTGCAGCTCCAGTGTGCTGTAATACTTGAAATAAACTCTAGGTACTTTAAAAAAATCATAAATCCATATCAGAAAAAAAAATGATTTGACTTTTCCCTAAAAATTCAGTGTTGTAATTCTTTTGTATGTAAAAGATGTTTCATCAGAAACTGCACGCAATTTAAGAGCTGAATTGCAAAGTTAGAAAAACCTTTTGTAGATGTCATCTTTGTTGCTCTCAATCTTTCTTTGCTGCAATTCTGCTTTTTTCTTTCCTGGCTGCTAATTGGATTAGAGGCTGTTTTGCCAACCATGGCATCTGGAGATGACAGTCCTGTCTTTGAAGATTATGAAAGGTAAATGTCTTGCATTGCAATAACACTAGCCTTTGAAACTTCTAAGATTGTTATAATCATTCAGGAAAACGATTTATCCAGGCTATTCTGATTGGGACACATGTTTTAAAATTGTATAAGGCTTAGTTCTGTTTTTCCTATGACTTGGAACAAGGGTAGTAATTTAATTTGTCTAGTGTTACCAGATATTAAATAATCTAGTATTTAATATTTGGCATGGTGGTGGCTATCACTTAATCATGGCATCCTTTCCACAGGACCTGGACATGAAGTCTCTAAATCCTTCTCAGTGCAGAGTTCCTGGCAACTACTTCAGAATGATGAAATCCATTTACTATCTCTGATTTAGAACGTATGTGTAGAGGAGATTGGAGTGAATGAAGAGTAGGATGTGTGGTTGGGAAAACAGGCTGTGGAGCCCCAAGTCTTAGGTTTAAATCCCATCTCTGCCACATTACATGCCCTTAGCCTCTCTGAGCCTCAGTTTCCTCATCTAAAAAACAGGGATAATGATAGCATCTGTCTCATGGTGAATATGAACCTCTCAGAACAGTAACTAGCACACAGTAAGCACTTAATAACTGTTAGCTATGATAACTGTTACTGTAATGAATATTAGTTCTCTCAAAGCTAAAAATCTACATCTTAGAATAATATAAAAAAAACATGTTTAAATTGTGCCAGAAATTTTTGACAAACCAGAATTCTTTAATTTTTTTTTTACAAGCTTTCCTGTGGTAGTACCAAGAATTACTGTTTTTCATAACATTTCTTTGTATCATTTTTATCTCTATTGTAGGAGGACATGTTTTCCCATGACTGCTCTTTTTCTCATTCTTTTTGGTCAAAACAAACCCTTAGTCATTAGTTTATGGAAGGTTTGGACAGTTCTTGTTTTGGAGTGATCAGATCTGAAAAAGAAAAAACGTCAAATCACGAGCTTTTTAAATGGGATGGGGGAGGTGGGGCTGTAGAGAATTTTTACTGACCTTTCCAGGCACTACTCTGTAGCCTAGCCTGGAATACTGTTAAGGATAAACTGATAGATTCTTAATCCTATTAATATTAAGGTGACTTTGTGTGGAATTATCAGACTGTGTGCATAGGTAGTAGTTTGTGTCTTGAAGGGTGAATAAGGGTAAAATAGTTACATGTTCAGGTATTGTGAATAGGATTTCTTGGACATCATTTTGATATTTTATAATTTTAGGGGTATTTAAAAATTTGATATTTTTGCCTCGGAAGGATTAATTAGTTATTATCTTACTGTTTTGGCACGTTATAATTACTTTGTTTTATTCCCTTAGCTCTCCTTATAGCCTAGAAAAAATGACAGACCTCGTAGCCGTTTGGGATGTTGCTTTAAGTGACGGAGTCCACAAGATTGAATTTGAACATGGGACCACATCAGGCAAACGTGTGGTATATGTAGATGGAAAGGTATGAAAAAAATATGCTACTTTGTAAAATATGGTGCAGAGACAAGCCTAATTTTGTTCATCTTCTTATGTGAATTCAGGGCTTTTCTCTTATAATCCTTATCTTTGTTTTTGGCCTGTATTATTCTGCAGTACAGAGCCAACTAGTAATAGTTATAGAATTCATAGACTATAACTTCAAGTATTTAAATGTAAAAGTCTTTATTTTCTAAAACCTTGACATCATGAATTAATAAAATTTCATATAAATAGCTGTGCCATTTGGTCACTTTAATTATATTTCTAAAACTAAATTTTAAAATTTCTTTCATTTGTTTTCAAATTTATATTTTATTACTTAGGAAGAGATAAGAAAAGAGTGGATGTTCAAATTAGTAGGCAAGGAAACCTTCTGTGTTGGAGCTGCAAAGACAAAAGCAACCATAAACATAGATGCTGTCAGTGGTTTTGCTTATGAGTACACCTTGGAAATTAATGGGAAAAGTCTCAAGAAGTATATGGAGAACAGATCAAAAACTACCAATACTTGGGTATTACACTTGGATGATGAGGACTTTAGAGTTGTGTTGGGTAAGTTAATGATGTTTCTGCAGGATTAATTTATTTTGTGATGACTGTTTTGGTTCCTCTCACTATCCAGACCTTTTATGGGAGCTTTGAATAGGAAAGCAAGTGTGAGTGATGTGTATTTCTGATGTGCCCTGTGTAAATGAAATATTCATTTAACTCACTATTTAATATATAAAGTATCTGCGAGCCAGGTTTTATTGTGATGGATTTGAGGATGATAATCTTAGGTTTACAAAAAAGAAATATTGGTGTAAACATTTGTTACTATTTGGTATTTCTCTTTATAAGCATATCTTAAAGACAGTTAAAAATTTAAGATTCATCAGTAAAAGGGAATTTTTTCTCTAGGTAGCAGTAGGTTTAGGACTACATCAGATCAAAATTGTCAAAGTCAAACTCTTGATAAGGTAGATTGAAAAAAAAAAAAGTACTAAGCCATTGAGCAGATCTGAAGTTCTGCTGTTACAAATCGCCATTGTTTTCAATTTCTATTGGGCCTACAAAATTTGCAAGACAGATGTTTACTAGTTACTGCCTTTTTTTCTTTTCTGGTTACTCCTAGTATTTCCTACTTTTAATGTTGCTAAGTCATTACTGTTTAGATCATCTCAATTCCTTGAACCATTTATTTAGATAATATTTACTGAGTACCTACTGTATGCTGGTTAGTGTACCAGGCACTGAGATACATAGATGAAGAGATCTGGTCAGTGACTTTAAATAGTCCACTGTCTAGTTGGATGCTAGCAAATATCTTTTTTTTTTTAAATGAAAACTGTTTAACAAGTAATGAATGCACATAGTTAAAACAAAAACAACTCCTGTATAGTTTATTTATTGAAGAAACTGGGTTATTTGTCTTGAAGAGTTTCCTATGATCTGAATTTTACTGATTATATCCCTGTGATGTTCCTCTGTCTTCTATATTTCCCATAAATTGGTAGTTGACTCTGAAGAATTGATCAGCTTGAGACTTGTTTTGTTTTGGCAAGACCACTTTATAGGTTGTTATATCAGGAGGCACATGGTGTTTGTCTCTGTTCATTTGATGTTGGCAACGATTGATGCCTGGTGCCTAGATACAGTCATTCACTGTTGTTGTTATGTACTGTCAAGCTGATTCCAACTCATAGTAACCCTATAGGACAAAGTAGGACTGCCCCGTAGGGTTTCCTAGGCTGTACTCTTCACAGGAACTGATCACCAGGTCCTTCCTCTCTCAGAGCTGCTGATGGGTTCGAACTGCCAATCTTTCGGTTAGCAGCTGAGCATGTAACTACTGTGCCAGCAGGGCTGCTTTAATTATTCCAGTCATTCACTAAAAAAAAAAAACCCCATTGCTGTTGAGTTGATTGTGACTCATAGCAGCCCTGTAGGACAGAGTAGAACTGCCCCACAGGGTTTCCAAGGAACGATTGGTGGATTTGAACTGCCAACCTTTTGATAGCAGTCAGACGCTTAAACCACTGCACCACCAGGGCTCCAGTCATTTACTAGGGGTTGCCAAATGGTGATATTCTGATTCTGTCATTCATTATTCATTAACTGGAATACTTCTACCCTGAGAAATTTCCTGTCATCTAGAATTTGATTACACAGTGGTATATTTATATAAGAAATGCAGGATAAGTGCTTGATTTTTTTCCTTTAATTTACCAGTTTTCAAATATTGAATTGAGTCTTTATCCTCCTCTAAAGGTGATCATTTAGGTTTTTTGTTTGTTTTGTAATTATTATTAACTCATGGATTTAAATAATTCGATGTATTTCAATACATGGCAGTTATTATCCTTAATGATGATATTCAGATTGTCCCATCTTTGGCCAGTGGGGAAGGGGAACTCTATAGGTTGGCTCCTGAGTCCTTTCGACACACCCTCGATAGACTTTGATAGCTTCCTTACTATCTAATATGACAAGATACTCCAAGCTCATTTTGAACATTTTCTGCTCGGATGACCTAGAATCAGCCATCTCCAAGAAGGTTTCTATTTGAGGAAAATGATATTTCAAGAGCATAGTCTGAGCATGTGCTAAGATGCCCATTCACTGTTTGTAGGTTTTTAGTGATAAACAAAGAAATTATATGCACACTGATAGATAGATAGATAATAAAGGGAAAGAGACTTTTTTTAGATTAAATGTGAGTTCATATTTATACTTATAATTTAAATTCAGAATACAAAGTTTGTACTTAATCTCATCTAACATCTGTATCTCCTTTCTTTCACACTGAGAATCCTTGTTCTCAAGGATACAGAAGATGATTCAGTTAGAATATCGTATAATTATTCACTTGCATTATGCCCCATTATGTGCATACTAGTCTAAGTTAACAGCACCAGTACTACCACCACTAATATGATTACCATAAACAACTTAAAACTTCTTTTTACATATCTTTCTTCAGTTGTACTCTATGTACATTGTCAGGGTAAATAGCGATTATATATTATATACTTTTCCTTCCAACACATATTTAGTTTTACAAATAAATACTTATTTATTTATCCCAATACATTGTTATTCCTTTCCTCTGATCATTTTGGTTGTGTGACACTTGTTCTCTATTAAATTCCTCAGGAAGCACTCAGGAAGTTCTTACATATTAATAACATTTCTCTGTGTCTTTTATACATGAAAGTCAGTTTGTCTAGATGTTAGATTCTCGGCTTACATTTTATTTCCTTAAAGTATCTTAGATATGTTATTCCACTCTCTTCTGGCATAAAATATTACCGTCAAAACATGCAATCAAGATGCATAGATAATTACTGGTGAGTGGAATGCAAAAGTTAGAAACGAAGGATCTGTAGTTGGAAAATACGGCCTTGGTGATAGAAACAATGCTGGAGATCACATGATAGAATTTTTTAAGACTGATGACTTCTACATTGCAAATATCTTTTTTCAATAACATAAACAGCGACTATACACATGGATGGAAAACATGGGAATCATATCAACTACATCTGTCGAAAGAGACAATGGAGAAGTTCAATATCATCAGCCAGAACAAGGTCGGGGCTGACTGTGGAACAGACCATCAATTGCTCATATGCAAATTTAAGTTGAAGCTGAAAAAAATTAAAACAAGTCCACAAGAACCAAAATACAACCTTGAGTATATCCCACCTGAATTTGGAGACCATCTCAAGAATAGAGTTGACTCATTAAACACTTATGACTGAAGACCAGACGAGCTATGGGATGACATCAAGGACATCATACATGAAGAAAGCAAAAGGTCATTAAAAAGACAGGATAGAAAGAAAAGAACAAAATGGATGTCAGAAGAGACTCTGAAACTTGCTCTTTAATGTAGAGCAGTTAAAGCAAATGGAAGAAATGATGAAGTAAAAGAGCCAAACAGAAGATTTCAAAGGGTGAATTGAAAAGACGAATTATAGTATTATATTAAAATGTGCAAAGAGCTGGAATTAGAAAACCAAAAGGGAAGAACACGCTCGGCATTTCTTTCTTTCTTTTTTTTTTTTTTTAATTCTGCTTTAGGTGAAAGTTTACAGCTCAAGTTAATTTCTCATTCAAAAATTTACACACATATTGTTTTGTGACATTGGTTGCAATCCCCACAATGTGACAGCACGCTCCCCCTTTCCACCCTGGGTTCCCTGTGTCCATTCATCTAGTTCCTGTCCCTTCCTGCCTTCTCATCCCTTTTGGACAGGAGCTGCCCATTTGGTCTCGTATATTTGATTGAACTAAGAAGCACGTTCCTCACATGTATTATTTTTTGTTTTATAGGCATGTCTAAACTTTGTCTGAAAAGTGGGCTTTGGGAATGGTTTCAGTTCTGGGTCAACAGAGCGTCCGGGGGCCATAGTTTTGGGAGTTCCTCCAGTCTTGTCAGGCCATTAAGTCTGGCCTTTTTATGTGAATTTGAATTCTGTTCTACATTTTTCTCTTGCTCTGTTTGGGACTCTCTGTTGTGTTCCCTGTCGGTGCTAGTCAGGCACTATCTAATTTTTCTAGTCTCAGGCTGGTGGAGTCTCCAGTTAATTTGATCCTTTAGTCCTTTGGGCTAGTATTTTCCTTGTGTCTTTGGTTTTCTTCATTCTTCTTTGCTTCGAGTGGGATGGGACCAACAGATGTGTCTTACATGGCTGCTTGCAACCTTTTAAGACCCCAGACGCTACTTACCAAAGTAGGATGAAGAACATTTCTTTATAAACTATGTTATGCCGATTGACCGAACTGTCCCCGGAATCTATGGTCCCCAGGCCCCATCCTAGCTGTTCTGTCCTTCAAAGTGTTTGGATGTGTCTAGGGAACTACTTTGCTTTTGCTTTGGTCCACTTGTGCTGACTTTCCCTGTATTGTGTGTTGTCCGTCCCTTCAGGGAAGTTGACCCTTGTCTACTATCCAGTTAGTGATTTCCCTTCCCCTCCCTCCCCACCCTCATAACCATCAAAGGATGCTTTTTTTCCTGTGTGTGTAAGCCTTTTCTTCAGTTCTTATGATAGTGGTCTCATGCAATATTTGTCCTTTTGTGACTGACTTATTTCGCTCAGCATGATGCCCTCCAGATTCATTCATGTTGTGGGATGTTTCACAGATTCATGATTGTTCTTTATCATTTTATAGTATTCCATTGTGTGTATGTACCGTAATTTGTTTATCCATTTATCTGTTGATGGGCATTCAGGTTGTTTCCATCTTTTTGCTATTGTGAATAGTGCTGCAGTGAACATGGATGTGCATATGTCTGTCTGTGTGGTGCCTCTTATTTCTCTTGGGTATATTCCTAGGAGGGGGATTGCTGGATCATATAATATTTCTGTTTCATGCTTTTTAAGGAAGCACCATATCGTTTTCCAAAGCGGTTGTACCATTTTGCATTAACACCAGCAGTGCATAAGAGTTTCAGTCTCCCCACAACCTCTCCAGCATTTGTTATTTTGTGTTTTTTGGTTTAGTGCCAGCATTGTCAGGGTGAGATAGGTATCTCATTGTAGTTTCGATTTGTGTTTCTCGAATGG